TATGTCTCATGGCGATTTGATCTAGAAATAATAACTTATCAACAATAGTCCGTCCCTTTCCTGGGTAGAACAGTTCTATTTTAACGAAAATTAATGTACTCTGGAGTATTTACGAAGTGAATAAATCGTAACAATATTTGTATCGTAACATATTACAAAACCTCATTCGTTAACAAACTGTCTAACGGTTTGATAATTTTACAGTCATATAATGTAACAATATGACATAATTTAATAAAAATTTACAAATAATTATTGTACTTTTTATTATTTGTAAATAATTATTACAATTTTCTTAAACAAAATTTACTTGTTTCTTAAATTATATAATAATGTCGCTTCTATCTGTATCTTACGGTACGATACAAACATTCGAGTAATTTATATATAACTTAACACAACCTATATCATATCTGAGCAAAAAGTACATGGTTGATTCTTGTATCACCAAAATCTGCTTAGTTTGAATGTTCGCAAAAAAGAAACTACATTTGCATCATTCGCACAGAGGGACATTATACTAGCAGAAGTTATTTTGTGAAAGAAATGTTCACACACAGCATTCTTTGATTGCAGGTGTGCTGGCAGGTCGCAAAAGTTTCATTTCAAAATTCTACACCTATATAGTAATGATCTCTACGTTAACGAGTATGCAATGTAAAAGGTTTCAGTTCATAGAAGTCAAGAGTCGGGGTCATAATGGAAAGCCAGTGAAACTTTAATGATTTAAAAGAAAGTCACATGTAACACGAGCATAAATAAGACGGTTTTACGCAAATTTTGAAAGAAAAGAATATCTTTAGTATGTGTTGATATAAAATGTTTGCTTATATTTCATTCGACACAGTAGTTTGTTAGTAAAACCCAATAAAGGTGGCAGAGGTGATAAGTATTTGATGTGCTTATCAATGCCTTTGATATCGAGTCACTTATCGACTGAAAAAAATCGAAATTTTTATCGCCTGATTTGCGATATACATGGAGAATACCCAGATATCCCAAGTGAAATATCGATTAAAATACAATGAAATAATAGCTCATTTCAAAACACTGATTCCCGGGAATAATACTATAGGAGTAGCATGTTATATATACTAAAAGGTCATTGTGTAGCCACATTGGGCATTGAAGATTTAGATGCACTTATTACGATGAAAATATAAGGACTTCGCAATGTTCGAGCTCGGAATAAACAATGAATATTAGATATTGGTATTCCTAGTACAGAATAAATATAGTTAAGATTTGGAACGTGCACGTTTACAAAATATAAATTTATATTTCGGAAGAGTCCTAGGACGAGATTTAGGAAAGATGAACAACCAATGGTGACCGATTTTCACACAGGCAAAGGCGTCGAGTCAAGGTAGGCGACTGTCGTGAAACTAGTTATAACAAATGAAAAAAAAACTTACAAAAAGTTAGAAGAAACGAAAACGGAGGTGACATGTTTCATGGAAGCCGTAATTTTGGTAGAAAATGTCGGGTCGCCGGCGCGAGCATATGGAACTAGACAGGGCTTTTGGTTGTCGTGATTTGAAGCAGTATCTAATAGAGATGATCGTTTGATGCATTCGGAAGTGATTTCAATGCAAATACTACATATTGTTTAATATTATATTTAGTAATATCAACTTTGATGCCATTTCAACTTCAACAGAGAAAGGCAGGAGATTTCTGGTGGGCATCGAGATTATACGAAAAAAAGAGAGAAAAAAAATCTACTTCGGCAGCGCGGTCTATGAGGACATCTTCAGACACCGTAAGCGCACAGAAAACATCATGCAAGACAACGTAATCCTCCTTTGCAAAGAAATTATTGGACAAATCTTTAAAAGGCCGTTAATAAATAAATATGGACTTCCAGGCATCCTAGAAGAAAATGTTGATGTATTTGGAAAGATACAGGTTTGAACTATTTATTTAGCAAAAAATTAAAATTGATAATTTGATCCATTTCGTGGTACTCTCTCCCCGTAACATTGTATTTGAAAATATTTACCGCAGTGAGCCCCTCGCCAGGCAAGTTGATTTGAAACTGTTTTAAATTATCATTTTACTTCAAAATATTTGTTGTCTTTGAATGTTTATTAATGCCTAACTTCTACGTTCAAATATTACGCGGGCCGAAGTGCGGACTAGGTAACTATTGACATTTTATTATGTTAAAAAAATTAATGGTTGATCTATGAATTTTATTGAAATTTACTACAATTGAAACATGTGTGAATTGAAGTACGAGCAACAGAATTATACTCTACGTATCAACAATGTGTTACATAAATAAATTCAGTGTATCAGCACTGTTGTGTCCTGAGCTTTTTCTAACGTGAGGATCAGACTACTGAAACAGTTTATCATACGAGTTTATTAATTATATTTGCCTATCGTAAACTAGGGCACCCGATATTAGGAGCCCATTTTTCAAACGTGCAAAAGTGTCGACTTTTACATTAAATTACAAAAACATATAATACGTAGAATAATCGTTTCCAAGCTCTGGACTCATTTACAAAACATTCTAACGTAGGTATTGAGATGAAAAAAAATGTTGTAAAACATGAAAAAAATATTTTTAATGAAATAAAACAAAAAGTATCCTACTCGTATGTGCAATGAACTTACCCCACTGATAGACCCTTGAGAACAATGAAAATATATTTGCACATACTATTCAGAGAAAATATTCAATTGGGTAGAAGTAGCTGAACAAATTGTAGCGCAACTAACGACAGCCCTGCTTAGTTTCCACCGTCACCTCTTCCCCTGCCTCCATTGCCGTTGCCACCGTCCTCACCCGCCTCCCGCGAAGCGAGCGGCCAAAGAGAACGGATCACGGGTTTGGTTGCAGTAATGCGGGGTACACAGAGACACGAGTCAAGGAACTGCTTGTGATTGCTAATGCTGGAGAAAGGGTGCTATTACAAAACAATGACAGAGGGAATAGGGTAGGGACAAGACTTTTTTAGATTAAGTTTACTTAAAAAATTCAGTTAAGATACATTACGTTACCGACTAGTTTACTTATACGGTTACAAAACTGTGCACTAAATTCTTTCCTGTATCTTTATATGTTGTTTAAAATCAGAAAAAATGGGAATAAAGTGAGCAAAATTAAAAAAAAATTCTAATAATTGAAAATACTTCAAAACCTAATTCAATAGTTCGAACTGATGCTTGGAATAGTGATGCTAAAATAGAACGTACTTTCTTTAGTTCGAATGATCACCAAGTATCATAATACTACAGAAACCGGCAAAAATGTTTCCAACCTGCCAAATGACTACGCCCGCTGGGATTCGATTGATCAATTGATTATTTCTTGTTACCCGGCGTGGCGACTGCTTTGTCATTAGTCTCACGAGTGTACTGAATGTTTTTATAAGAGGAGGTGGCGGCGTTTCTCCGTCAATGGATAATGAGATCAGGTGGAGATATACACCTCGGCTTGCAAGATTTTCCCTTTAAGGAATCTCCCCCAATGGGACACCGCCCCAACCGGGTCAAGCTCTAAGCTTCTGTCCTGTGTGATGCGTAGTGCTTGTACGTGTATTTTGTGTCAGGGGTAAGATAAGGACAAGGAAGAGAAAGGAATGATCGCGCACGGTTGGTGGCCCGTTTGCTAGGGCACTGCTCCGACATTCGCCTGGTATTGATCGAACAAACCACGCAACACTACCGATCAGAGCAGTCCGCTGCTAGAATTCTCGAGACAGCGTCTGATCTCGACCAAACTAGTCAAAAATTCTAACACCATTTGGACCCGAACCACCTCAGTCTGTGTTGAGATTTGAACTGGGATAATTAAGTAAGAATTTAACCTAAGTACTACACCATCCTCTTCAGTCGGCATAACAACCTTTCCGATGCTTTAGAAAACTAGTGCTACTACAAGAAATTTTCTCGTATCACAATATGTTCCCAATCAGTAAAAATGTTTTCTCCTCACCCAGATTCGAAATCAGATCCTTAGAGTTAAGGCCAGGTACGTTACCGCAACACCACCAGTCGTACGTTCATCTCTACATACGATGCTTAAAAAGATCGTGATTTCATGATTTATTTCTAGTTTATGACATTTTTCGAAAATTCAGAGGATTCAACAAAAATGAGACTTGAGACATCTTTTTAAATCGTTATTTGCTCTAACAGTGGTAATATTTAAAGGTAAAATTCAGAGAAGTTTTTAATAATTTTTACATTCATTTAAAAAAATGTTTTTTATATTTTTATTTATAAAAATATTTTAAACATTTAAAATAAATAAAAATTAACAATTTATTTTTACAACCCAAAAAAGCTAATGTTAAAACAATCAAATTAATATAAATCACCACAATGTTTCGGGGACACTTCTCCCTATTTTGATGTTTTTCGTTTGATGTTTAATTTGAATTATCAATTTAAATTAAACCTAAACAATTATAAATTTTGCTCACGCATAAAATTATGCATCATGTGCCAGACGATGAGGTGCACTTCACTGTTCTTACAACGTAGGCCTGGTCATAAGTTAGTTCCTTTTAAATTCGACGTTGAATCAAAATTAATTCACTTGAATTTTGAAGGGGTTATTCCTTTTCTTGTCCCATCTCTGAACTGTTGATGCATACCTGTCAAAAATGCAATGGAATAACGAACAATAATCCTTCGTCGGGCCGGTTCGCCGAGATCGCTAAGGCAGAGGGCCGTAGTGACTGAATGGTTCCAGTCCTTCCTCGGGCATGGTTTTGTTTGTTTTAGTCCTTTCACCTCCTCTCATCACCACATCATGTCATCTTCACAGTTACTATACCGTTAAATGCAATAGTGGTCGCTAATGACCTAGATGATAATGCGACCTTAAAATAACAACAAAAAATTAATCCTTCGGTATTTATCCGAACACACTGCCAAACGTTCGTGGTCGCTCTTTCAAAATTCTTTGAATTGTTCAGTTGGAGAGTCCATATGATTTGGCAATTGGTTTTCCGAACTTATTATTTCAACCAACTGAATATCTACGAGGCCAGCCACTGAGGTGTTCTCAAGGCGTAGACGCAATGTTTCCCAGTTCCTTTGGCTCTAGCTTGATTGGTTTTGATGTAACCGTTCTGTATTAGAGCTTGAAACCCGAAGAATGATCAGTGCGTCGTGTGTGCCCAGTGCTTACCAGTGTGTGAGATTACCAGTGATTCAGTGAATTTTTCCTTCTTATTAAAATGTAATTTAAATATTATTGGAACTACAATGAAATTCTAGTATTTCTGCTTCAATTATTTTCATCATTCGAGTTCATAGCAATTGAAAATTACATTATTAAACGTTCATAATATTTATGATGATAAAATAACGTACAAAATGGGATGGGATGAATGAATTTGATACGTACGTCTTCTGCGACCTGTGAATTACTAAATAATGCTCCTTTTATAGTTACTAACGTCATTACGCCTATAAACACCAAGTCTTTTATTTGTGAAATAGACAGTGTGTCGTTCAATACTTTTCGTAATACCATATTATAGGGAAAAATGATATAAATATGAAACCTCTTAATACTTAGGAGTGCAACGTCACCTTTCATTTCAAATCGGTTCGATTGTTGCTTCAAACGCTGGTTACAAGAACGCCAAGTTTTTGGCGTAAGAACACATTTGAAAATTTTTACTAGAAGAAAGTCGCTACTTAAAAAATTATTGTAATTTTTGGTGTTTTTAGGTTGGTGTAATGTTGACAAGACGAAATTGTGTCCTTGACCACGAGCAACGGAGTGCTAATTACTCTGAATTGCCGGACAACAAAAAAATATAATGTTTGTAACACCCAAAGACGGTCTTCCATTGAATGCATATGATTTGTATAAAAAATATGATAACCTACGATATCTAAGCGAGAAAAAAGACGCTTTTTCTTAGATTATATACATGGAAAATGCACTTGAGTTGTAGGTGTAGAATAGGAGACATACGAAAAATATAGAGGAATTTTTATATTTAGTCTCCCTTGAGCTATAATCGGGATATTGATTTCAATGTTCGTCGGGCAATGCTAATCGTAAACGGTGGCGCTATGTTTTCCTTGAAAGAACGTGGAGGTTGGGAGTCTTTGTCAGTAGTAGAAAAATATATTTAACAATCTGTTTCGAAATTTATTCATATTTCTAAACAGTTATTCAGCACCGACGAGGTTGTATCACCATAAAGAGATTCAAGCACGTCGACATCAGAATCTTCTACCTCTTATGAAGTCATAATTTATAAATCAATATTCAGAATTACTACAATGAGAAATTATACGAAATTAATTAAAAAGAATAATAGTATAATTGACAATTAGTATTTATAAGTGTATGCGACTTATGTTAGAGCGTTGGCTTCCGCGACGGCATTACGCCCTGAGGAAGGTCGCAGAATGGCGACCGAAACGTCGGCACCTTCGCCATGGACGCGGCGTCACCCGGACAGCCTAGTAAATAGCGACTTATGTTGTTTGTCGCCTATTTTGTAAGTTTAATAAATAGTTTGAAGATAACTTGGCTCCTTCACGGCCGGTGGCCATTAAGATTACCTTTTCATTCCTCTGTGAGGCGTTATATTAATGCGTTATATTAATGAACAGTATTACGAAAATTACTTAATAGTACCACAACTTTCATTGCCATTTGTTCTCACATTCCATATTCAAATATGTTCGCGGTTCTTGATTAATGTGCCAACGTTATTAAAACAACCTGCAAACTCGGAAAATTATCCTTGTTCAAATATCTCTTCCATTTCATTCCGAGAATTGAATTAGTGTGTCAGAGAGAGACAGAGTATTTAAAGAGCTCATATAATCGCCATTTGTTAAATGAAAACTTGTTACCACGAAGAAAATATTAAATGGAAGCATAATAAATAGTTAGTTGGTTAGATAAAAAGAGTATGTACGCCATTAACATTTTACACTTCACTGATTTAACTAAACTTTTAAAATAGCCGAACTCTACTTGAAATTAAATGAGACTCTAGCAAGAACCTTCTATCGAATATTCTTGTTCGAACCAACATTCTCGATTAGCCCTTCAAAGTAATATTTCGTTCGCATTTGCTCATGAAATATAGTTGAAAACTAAATTAGTTTTATGTGCTCAACAGGAGAAAATGCCTCCATCTGAACGTTTTCGCTGAACGTAGTTAAATTCAATTAAAAAGCATTATAAACTGATTATTAAGATAATATCCTTATTCTAAGAAAATCAATTCATTTTCGAACATAGGTTTACAAATAAAAATCAGTATTTCGGCATTTTTTGTAATGTTTAAAAATAGATTATATTCAACCCAGATTAAAAAATCAGTAGGCATAATTGATGGCTCAAATTTTTCAACACATGTCCGACGGCTTGGTATCTTTCCCAGGAGTGTCGTCTGATTCAATTATTCATTTACTTTTTATCGACGACAAATATTATTTTCATATTGTTATTTAATGTATCGCACAGGTCTGCATTTTACTTCTTACTGTAGGTTCGAGAATACTTTAAATGCTTGTTTATTACAGAAAATTACAAAGCTTCATAACAAAACATCTACAAAAATTCAAAATGATTACACTAAGTCGTTCTTCGCAGAAGACACTAACATTAAAAACATAATTCCGAAGACTGAAAGAAATCAGAATTAAGGAGGTGAAATAGTAGATAAAGAAAACCAGACATATATTTGATTCATATATCAGAATATTCTTACGCAACATATTTATATACAGTCAAAAAAAATATATCAATGAAAAACGCCGGGGTTTGATACATTTTAATTGCGATTCCTCATGCCAATATTTTATTCATAACTCGGTTAGGAATTTTCGCATTACAGTAATTATGATGGTCATGATTACAGTGATTAAATAAAATAATAAGCATGATGGATCTGTGTTAAGGAAGCGGGAAAGACACAACGTCAAGGAAACTTCCAGGAAACCGTAACCAGCTTGAAAGGCGGTGCCTTGAAAGGCGGTGCCAGTCTAGATGTTAGATGCCGGGCGCTTGGCGAGAAGACAACGCAGTAGTATTTTCATTGCAGGAAGATTACGAAAATAAAATACGAATTTTCATCGAGGGAAGATGGATCATTTTTCCAACGCCATTTGCCTGCAATAGTGGGAATTATGAAGGAAATAAGGCGCTATCGAAGATGAGCTTGTTTCTGTCTGAGGTAACTAAAAAACAATTTAACCGAAGAACATAGAAGAGGTGAACGGCAGTTCATATGGAGGTGATTTACAGCGCGCACTCCCTCATCTTCTCGGCCCCAAGGTTCTCGGGAGCGAAGCTTCTCTAGGGCAAAGCGAAAGACGACCCAAATGCATGTTTGTCCTCTGTCTTTGGAGTGGTTGTGGCGTGTCTCGCCTTCTGAATATGATAACCGGTTTTTGATGAGGAAACTTCACAAGAAAGTAGAAATAAACCCGACTGAAGAGGGAAGTTTCGAAAGAAAATACTCCAGAAAAATGTACGTTTTTTCAGTGTTACTGCCAGCTGACCCAAATATTGTCAGGATCGTCAGGAAAGTCTCTCCCCCACCGAGCCGGATCAGGGTTTAATAAAAATTGCATTTATGTTGATAGCTACCAGATCAATAGGAAACAACTTCCAGCATCTATTATGATTGTGGTGAGTACAGAATTTACGTTTTCAAGCTGCAGGTCGTGCTTCCAACGTATATTCTGTTGCAAGCACCAGCAAGGGGCCATTGCGGAGGCACTTTCCTGGCGCGCAATATTAGGTTGACGTTGCAAAAGCCAGAGAGATCGACGGGTGATATGTATCGTAAGCCGAAATGGCAAATGAGGATGGAGGTGTAGACGTACAGGCATCAATAAAAAAAACAAGTACTTCAAAACAAATTTCTCCAATAAACCTTCAAAGTTCCTTCATCCAGAGTGCCAAAGTTAATCAAAAACTTTGACACCGCTAATCTTGGGTAACTAAATAACTTCAAGCTTTTATATTAATGTGCCTTGTTCAGCCATTAAGATATTGAAACTCATGCACGTCAAAGAATTAAACCTCATATGCGAAGGATTTACTTAACCCATGATACGCTGTTACTTATTTGAATACAACGATATAGCAAATATTCTACCTGAATTACGTCTCTACAAGAATCGATTGATTATAACTATATAGAAAATATTCAACCTGAATTAATTTGTAGGTGTCTAAAATAATTAGCGTCAGTAATTTGTTAGTGAAAGCATCGTGTAATTAAAAATTCTGTACTATACATATGTAATAGTATTGTTTGGGAAAGAATTTACGTTTACGTGCTTCACTTATATAAAGTCTTCCCAAGGAATACTGAATGTACAAAACGCGAGCGTCACGCACCTTGAGCCGCCTGAGCAGGCTGTCGGGCACGTAGGCGGGCAGGCCGTAGGCCTCGGCGAGCGCCCAGGCCGCGGCGTACTCCATGACGAGGTTGCCCAGGCGGCCGCCGGCCACGACGGTGACGTAGGGCGGCGCGGCGCGGCCGCCGGGGCAGGCGCCGTCGAGGCGCGCGCCCAGCGCCAGCATGGGGAAGCGCACCGTGCCGCCGTGGTAGGCGTACACGTAGTCTTGCCGCTGGGCCAGCTGGCGCCACGTCAGCAGGTGCGCGGCCGGGTGGGGCTGGCCGCGGCGCCGCGCCACCAGCACCTCGCTGTTGAAGAGCAGCACCAGGGCGCAGAGGGCGCCCAGCGCGCCGGCCGCCCCCAGCGGCAGGCGCCTGCCCATGGGCACGCACCGCCGAGGCAGCAACCACCGCGCCCCTGCGCACGCACCCACACATCCATTCAGCAACGTCCAACACTTCGGAACCCGCCCGCTAGAATTACTCTCCAGACCGCGACTGAATTCGACCTAGCACTCTGGCAAATGTCGAAAATCCTGCCATCATCGGCACTCGACATAGGACTTCCAAGTCAGAGGCACCGCAATGGCATTTTCTCCGCAAGTACAGGTTTGGATTGGTTGACTAGTCTTCAGCGGCTGGATTTTCGATACCAGCTTGTCAGCTAGGTCGAATTCAGTCGCAGGGCTTTTTTATAGCGGGAAGTGACGGTTTTCTCCTCCTGGATGATGAGATCCTGCGCCGACCTACCATCGGCTAACGGTGTAAGTGAAAGTGTGATGTAAGTAAGGGTGAGGATAGGATAAGGAAAGATCGCGCGGGGTCGGTGGCCCATATGCCAGGGTACAGCTCCAGCATTCGACTGGCACTGATCGGAGAAATCAAGGGAAGCTCTCCATCAGAGCAGCCGGCCGCTAGAATTATTCTCCAGACCGCGTCTCAATTCGACCTAGCGCTCTGGCAAATGTCGAAAATACTGCCACCGTCGGCACTCTAACCTAGGACCTCCAGGTCAGAGCCAACGCAGTGCCATTAATTTTCACCCAAAAATAATTAATAGTTGTTTCTAAGCGCATTGAGCTCCTAAGTCCCGTAATTGTAACGTACGCTATATCCCGGGACGTGGCAATATTTTTCCCCTTGGTATCGCGCGATCCGGCGCAGATTTACACTAACGTGAGAGGGCTTTCCCCCTCTATGTAGCAAGGACACACACCCAGCTCCAAACTGGCTTCTCGCCATGTGTGGTTACTAGTGTGCACAAGTGCACGTGGGTTGAAGGAAAGGGGGGCAAAGGAGGAAAAAATAACGATCGTGCATGGTGTGACCCGTTGGTTGAGGTCTTCCTCCGGCATTCGGCTGGTAGTGTTAGGTGAAACCACTGTATTCGGAGAAACTATTGATCAGAGCAGCCGCATTATTAAATTATTAAAAAACATCATTAATAGGCGACTTAAATGATAAAAATAAGCATTGGTTTTAACTCTGCACCCCCTCAAGGTATATCCTTATTTAAACTAATTACTAAAATAATTGGATAATACACGCACCTAATTAATCAACATATTACATATACAGCATATAATCCACTATACATCCTGACATATTATATGTTACAATAATTAATAAAATTAATACTCTCTTTCAATATGGTATTCCAGCTCTCAATGCTGATCATAACCCAGTAATAATAAAATTTTATATGTTAACATAAATAGAATATCTAAAGTCAGCTCTTACTGGTAATAGGAACAGGACACATTAAATTCTATGTGATTAAACTAAACAAATATCAGACATCTTTACGAGCTACTTAAGACATGGATGTAGAAATACCTAACTTTCAAAATAATATTTCACATGCAACTATATTATCTTCCTAAAATTCTAAGCAATAATAAGTTAAAATTAATTACTATTGAAATTTTAAAGTTAAACTAAAACATGTAATTTGTAGAAAAAGGTAAATATCAAGAAACTCCTAAAATATGTTCTTAATCGTCTAACACAAAGTGAAATATAAATTAGATGAATACCGTTATTCACAATTCAATAAATTCCTATATAAACTTTAACCTACCGCTACAGAACTTTGGTCAGCCATTAGAAACATCTCGTATTAGTCCATTAACATCAGAATCAACTATAGTAATATCAGTTACTGAAAAATCTTAAGTATTGACCAAACAATTTCTACTTTACTACAAATCCGATTATTAATTTTTAAATTTAGTTTTTATATTAACATTTTAAAGATACGAATTCTAATGTACAGTACCCGATAGAACTAAACTTACTTCCCCATCAGAAACTAAATTTATTAATTCTTAGTCTAAATTTAAAAAATCCCTAGATATTAACTGTATTCCAAATATAATCATAAAACATCTTCCAAATTCAAGTATTAATTCATTAACTACAATTTTTAAAGCTACTAATTTTCAAACGAAAATTATTCTTTTGCTTCATTATTTTGCTTTATTCTTAGATGTAAAGCATTCGACAAAGTTTGGCATGAAGGATTACTGTACAAACCACGTCAACACGGTTTCCCTCACTATCTTCAAAATATTATTAAAAGGTTTCTCTTAAACCGGAAATTTAAAGACAAATTAAATAACACTATCTCATCAATTCATTAAGGCTGGGGATCCCCAAGGTTCTACTCTCTCTCCCACTATTTTTTATATTCTTTTATCTCTAATATCCCTAAATTAACTTATTCAGACATGGTCTTTCTTGCAGACGATACTGCAATATTTACTGCACACTGATCTCATACAAGGTTGAAATCTTATTAAAGTATATAAATACATTATATACCTGGTTCACAAATTGGAACATTAAAATAACTAAAAAAACTGAACCCAAAATTGGTTCATTAAAACATATTCATCCATCTTACCCACTGATAATTAATCATAAAGCTATTAATTGGTTCTCCAATTCTACCTTAGTTAAATACTTTGGTTTATAATCAGATACAAAATTAACACTGAAACAACACATTTCATCAATATCTAATGATGCACATATCAAAATTCTTAAATTATACCTGTTCATTAATATAAAATTAAAAATCTCTGCTGATTCAGGGTTAGTTCATAAATCTATCATTCATCGCACAATAACATATCGCACCTTCAACAGAAAGGTGAAAAGTGCGAAATCGTCATTTTTCAGCTAAAAGCTGATAAAAGGTTACCAAGAGGTATTGCTACTATTCTGAAATTGATTTTGAATTAGTTCAATTACTGTCCACTAGACGGTGAATATTAAGTACAATCTATAACGAGTATTACAGAACTACGAAACTGAAAATTGCTGAGATATCATTATTAATGCTGCATTATTTATTGCTGAGAAATTATTAAAATTGCTGAAAAATCAGAAATTCTGCTTATCTTATATCGCACCTCCAATAGAAAAGTGACAAATGCGAATTTCTGATTTTTCAGAAATTGCAATTTTAAGTTTCGTAGTTTTGTAATATTCGTTCTAGATAGTACCAAATATTCACCTTCTAGCTGACAGTAATTGAATTCAAAATCAACATCAGAATAGTACCTTTTGTAAACCTCTTATCAGCTTTTAGCTGAAAAATTACGATTTCGCACTTGTGTCACTTTTCTATTGTAGGTGCGATATGGGATGACACTGCAAGAACACAAATACACATTGGAAGTTATTAAAAATAAGTTTTTACGTCAAATATTAAAAGCTCCTTGGTATATTAGTAATGACCAAATTTTTAAAGAACTAGCTATACATTCAATAAGTACGTATATTTCAAAATTATCAAATAATTTTTATTCTTCTCTTCCATCTTGTTCAGCAACTAATAAATTTAAATTAGGCAAATAATGTAATCATTTTCCCTACATTAAGGCTCGATATTCAAAAGATATTTTTCAACCTCCCGAATTACTTTGAATTTCATTCGGCTAAAGTAAAAATATTAAATTAATTATAAATTGGTTATTATGGACAGCCATTCCTGGGTAAATTATATTTCAATGTTATTAGTTCCATTTTATTTAATTGTGAAAATACTGTAATTGTTCAGTTCATTCATTTCTATGTCAAACAAGTAGAAATAATATTAAAAAAATAGCAGCCGCTTGCTTGAATATTCCTAACACAGAAGTTGAATTACTTTCGCCTTCGTCGCTAGAGTCAAAAATCTGCCCCCGTCGGATTTGAAAATGTTATCAGTGTGAGGGACACAGACGTCAACAGGGTCGAGGTTTGCTGCGATACCACAGCACAGTGGAAATATATTTTCTCTGTGGCAATGGATAATGAAATACTTGTAAGTCTTTAATTAAAATTTTAAGTAGAATGATATTAAGATTACTGTATATTTGATTAATTTTCAAACGATGCAAAACATTTTATTAAAATGTGTATAGGTCTGCATTGGAGTGTTGAAACTAGTCAAAACAAAATTATGTAATTTTACAAATGCACATAAAAGGTACAATGTGATCTCAAGCTTCATCTAAACTTCAACTAAACTAAGTGAATTTATTGTCCGTGCCATCAGAGAACATGTAATCTCAGCAATCAAATTCATGAAGCGATGCTTGGGCAATAAAGGATATTTCTACATATAATAAATATACAAATATTTGATAAGAGTCTTACTCATTCCTGGCGACCAAAATCAGGCGAAGCAGAGAATTAGCCTATTCAGAACGCTTTAACTCTATGCAGAAACATCCAGTGTTTTGCTAGTGGATTTACACTACATGTTACACAACAATCGTCTTCTCAAGTCTGTCCCAGATTGCTTAGGTGAAGATACACGCCAAATTGAGAACCTGCTCTCTTTTTGGACGACCGGTAAGAACGCGTATGATTATGTTCTAACACCGCAGTTAGGAAAACTGAATTTGTCGCAGCGTTGTGTACAACTTTCCGAGATTATAAAACATCAGAACACTTTCAACAAGTTTCGTTGCCATAGTAACAAGGAATATGCCATTTTCCTTGATTTCCAAAATACTTCATATGTTAATGAAATTGTTATAGTATAATTTATTACTTCATAGTATTATTTAATGTAATAGAAAGTGGCCAAATAAGCGGACTATTATTAAGCCTATACGAACACGTAATGTATAAGCAAATCACAAAGTATATCTTTCTTTTTCGAATCATTGAAGAATAGTTCTATGAAATAAAAACATTCGGTGTTCGGCTCTGAGGATAATTTTTAAGTGACATGGAGGAAGTTATCGTGCTTTTCTGAATGCCCGGAAATGAGATACAAAGCAGATACAGTAATCTGCGTACTATTTCCCCTCGTCACTTGAACGAGAAGGCTCTAAGACAACTTTGTTCTGATTCCCTTTCTCCTTCCATAAGTCTCAGAAATTACACAACACGTTTCGCAGGCATCCATAGGACTTCACT